GTGGTTTAACCCACAGCACCACCCACGTAGTAGCTTTGCATACTATACACCATTTTCAGCTCTGCCTCAGGCAGCAAAATATCTTGGTGGGTTAGGCTGAGAAGTAGTGACTGGCCCAAAATCACTTTCATGGCTTGTGGAGATTTGAACCTGGGTTTCCCTGATCCTAGAGTCTGCCACTCTTAAGCTCTTGGTTCTGAAACACATTTTCTTTGAGGTATGGCCCATTTATTTCAGTGGGAGGTTCCTCAAATTTCAGCCCTTTTCAATCAAAGAATTCAGGATGGTGGGGGTTTTTTGAACCCTTGTCTTCCCTTTTATTGAACCCTTGTCTCACAGATGCTGGTGAAAGCAATGACATTGTTAATGGACTCAGAATGAGCATGTCGTGTCATCTGATATCATGTCCTACATCAACTCTCTTATACTGGAGGCAGTAGGCATGCTGTTACCCACTAGCCTGTTAGTAATGTTAGTTTGTTTGGTTCATTAAAATGATTTCTTAGATTTGCACTGTGCCTTGCTCCATTTGTTTTGATCAAAAACCATCTCTCTCTTTTAAACAACAACAACATATTCTTAGTGCCTGACAAAATCTTGATCAGATAGTTAAAACCAATAAACTAAAAGCTGAATAAACAATGGAAAAACATGTAGCATGGAGTTGCTACATATCATAAACATATGGCCTTTTCTCATTTGTAACTACTGTATGTTGATTCTATGGCTAGGAGGGAGCATTTGATAGCACCATCCAGCCTGAGTCCAGAGCTCAAAAAAGAGAAACAAACACATTATGGAAAAGAGATGAGCACCACACAGTGGTTCAATACAGGAAATGCATTGCTTGAGACTGCAGGAGATTTATCTATCTATCTACACCACTATTCATAGAAAATATCATAGCAGTTTACAATAATAGTACATAAAACTATATAGAAAAGTTAAAATCAGAAATCAGATAGCTATTGTGAACAGATGTATTCTTAATTACCTGCATATTCCTGACAGAATAGAAAAGTCTGCAGCATGCACTTAAACAAAAGGCAACTGCTGAATCTCCATTTGCAGAGTATTCCATAAGTCTGAGCCAATGACACTCAAGGCTTGGTTTCTTCTTGTGAGCCTCTCCAACTTGGGGAATGACCAACGGCACTCCTCCAATGATCTCCAATGACTAGGGTATAAGTGTTCAAGCAGCTACTGGGGTACCTAGGACCTACGTTTTTCAAGGCTTTGTGAATTAATGCAAAGACCTTGATCCTGACTTGGTAGTAGGCAGCTTGTGTATAAGTTTAAACAATGGTGTCACATGTTCTTGGCCAGATCAGCAGTCTCTCCACCACTTTCTGCACCAGCTGGCACTGTCAAACCAGACCCAGGGGAAGCCCCACATAGAGCACATTACAGTGGTACCTTTGGATACGAATTGAATTCATTCCAGGGGGTCCGTGCATACCCCGAAAACTTCGTATCCAAAGGTGCCTGCTCTGCATAGGCGCGCAGGTTGGTAGTCCACTTCTGTACAGGTGCAGCCGCCGAAAACCTTCCCATTACTTCCGGGTTCGCCGCATGCGTATCCTGAAGAATACACAACAAGTGCGGTACGTAACCCGAGGTTCCACTGTACAGTACCCAGCCCTGAGATTAAGGTAAAGGTAAAGGACCCCTGGATGGTTACGTCCAGTCAAAGGCGACTATGGGGTTGCGGTGCTCATCTCACCTTCAGGCCGAGGAAGCCAGTGTTTTTCCACAGACAGCTTTCTAGGTCATGTGGCCAGCATAACTAAACTGCTTCTGGTGCAATGGAACACCGTGATAGAAACCAGAGCACACAGAAACACTGTTTACTTTCCTGCCACAGCAGTACCTATTTATCTACTTGCACTGGTGTGCTTTCAAACTGCTAGGTTGGCAGGAGCTAGGACCTGTAATGCATCAAAAATACAGTAATGCATCAAACATTAAAAGCCTGGTTCCCTGTAACAAACAATTTATTTTATTTATGAATCACTTCCCACAAAACGTCCCAGTGATCTTTTTTTAAAAAACCAAACAATACAAACATCAACAATAAAAGCATCTATCCAAACATTTTCAGAGCCAATGCAGACTGGGATAAGAACCAGGCAGAGGGCCTTCTTGGTGGTGGCACCCGCCCTGTGGAACGCCCTCCCATCTAATGTTAAGGAAAGAAACAACTATCTGACTTTTAGAAGACATCTGAAAGCAGCCCTGTTTAGGCAAGTTTTTAATGCTTGCTCTTTTAACAGAGCCCCTTCCATTTCTCTTCCCGCTTTGCTGGAGAGGCGCTGCACACACAGAGAGAGAACATTTTTTTTCTTGTTCTCCTCCTCTAAAGCTAGGTGCGTCTTATAGAGTGAAAAAATACAAACATTTCAATCTCTTAATTTCTCCTTATGCATCCTCTTTTTGTGTTTGGCTTTATGTGAGATAATGGCAGCTTTTGAGTTAAAATATTCCCATGGATGTGAGTGGGGAATCTTCACGATCCTCTTCATACAAATTTAAGCTTAAACCTCTTCTGCTTGATTGATCATTCTCTTTTTCTTTTTTTCAGACAGAATCCAGAACCATACACAAAACATTCAAAAATAAGACTTGGTACGCCCTCTGCTGCCTCTTCATCAGTACTAAAGTCTGCATCTAGAAATCTATTATTCCACAGACTGATATCAGGAAAAAACGTTTGCTGCTACACATGTTTGCATGCGGTCCAGTTCTGAAAAGTCCATGGATGATAGTGAAAAGTGTCCAGGATTTATGCATAATGATGACTGCGAAGCAATCTGATCAACTTTATTTTTAAATTGTATTTTTAATTTGCAATCCTGAGCTCCTTGAGGAGGAAAGGCAGGATATAAATTCAATAAATTCAGTAACTTGATAACTGTCTAGGACTGTTGGAAAGGGAGAATTCTTTATACACCACCTTTAACTGCAAAACTCTCAAGGTGGCTTTCATTGATGAAATGGGAAAATAAATATATGCTCCATCATTATTATTATTATTATTCCCTGCCCATGTGGTGGGTTTTTCCTAGCCACTGTGGGCAGCTTACAGCATATCTAAAAACATAATAAAAATATCAAGCATTGTCTTGTTGTCAATCAATGGATTGACAACATGACAATGCTTGCAACATACGAACAGATTGCTTATAGACGCAGACTTTGTTTCAACAAATATATTGGAAAAACCAGGAACCAAAAAGAAGGAATAAAATGGACAGTTCTACCAATGGAGGGAGGTACTAGGTAGAGTTCCCCAAAGATCAGTATTGGGACCTATGTTTTTTAATTTGTTCATAAGTGATCTAGAGTTAGGTAAAGGTAAAGGGACCCCTGACCATTAGGTCCAGTCGTGGCTGACTCTGGGGTTGTGGCGCTCATCTCGCTTTATTGGCCAAGGGAGCCAGCGTACAGCTTCTGGGTCATGTGGCCAGCATGACTAAGCCGCTTCTGGCAAACCAAAGCAGCACACGGAAACGCCGTTTACCTTCCCGTCGGAGCGGTACTTATTTATCTACTTGCACTTTGACGTGCTTTTGAACTGCTAGGTTGGCAGAAGCAGGGACCGAGCAACTGGAGCTCACCCCGTCGCGGGGATTCGAACCGCCGACTTTCTGATCAGCAAGTCCTAGGCTCTGTGGTTTAACCCACAGCGCCACCCGCATCCCTTGATCTAGAGTTAGGGATGAGCAATTTGTATTAATTTGGTAATGATTTGTTAAAATTATGGAAAATCAATAAAAAAATAATTGGCAAAAAAGAGAGGAATGAGCAGGGACGTAGTTCAAGCAGCTCAAGGAGCTACGTAGCTAAGTTTCCTCACGATAATAACATGTTCAGGGTAGTTAAAACAAAAAAGGATTGTGAATAGCTCCAAAAGGATCTCTCCAAGCTGAAAGAATAGGTAGAAAATGGCAAATGCAATGAAATGTAAGCAACTGTAAAGTGATGTGTATCAGGGCAAAAAAATCTTAATTTCACATATATGTGCATGGCGTCTGAACGGACAGTGATTGACTAGGTGTGAGACCTTGGATGTCAGCAGTGTGTGACAAGTGTGAAAAGTTCAAATTACATGCTAGGATCATTGGGAAAGGAATTTAAAATAACGCTGTCAACACCTTAATTCAATTATACTAATCTATGGTGCAACTGCACTTGGAATGCTGTGTACAGTTCTGACAGTGCACTTCAAAAACATTATTGCAGAGCTGGAATAGATGCAGAAAACGGCAACCAAACTTATCACGAAGCACCTTCCACTGACTGACCCAGAACTGACATACAATCTCAGCGATGCAGCCCAATCGTAGTCAGAAATAGGTAGGTCTGAAATCACGTCGGTTGTGTGTGGTGAGAGCATTATCGCGAGACGTGACACGAAGTCGAAGTTGCTATGTTTTCATAGCGCGGGGAAAGGAAGAGGGGAAGTTTGCTGCGCATGCGCCGCTGCTAAATTAGCTGTAACGTTCATTCACTTGACCGGAAGGGGAAAAGAGGACTGTTGAACAAATGTTGTAGAGAACGAAGGTGCACATTTGACGCCTCCACTCTCTCCAAAACAAACCGACCCGAAGGAGCAAGCGCCTGCCAAAAGCTTATTGGAAATACGCTTTGACATGGTAGTTTCAAGTGGCTGGTCTTCTGCTGAGCCATACATAAAGGGCAGAAAAGCGCGACCTTCCTTGTTAGTGTCCCTCACTGACGGAGGAGTGCCCGTCGTGCCGAATTTCTGCCTACGCGGCGGCAAGAGTTCAACGAGCAAAGCTCCGCGCCTCCCAACAAAATAACCGCGTGCTTGGAAGCCTCGGCCAATCTCGGAGAACGCGCTGCGATCACACGGCCAGTCTTAACTGAAGGCTGCTTTTGCCTTTCCACTCCTCTTGCCCCGCACATGGCGGACCCCCTCCAACAAGTGCTCGGGAGCCGGAAGTCGCGATAGGGATGTGAGGCTGCCGCCCTTTCCTCGCGGGCAGCCGTTTCCTTCCGTCGACGCGTCGCTGCTGGGGCCAGTCGGCTTCATGGCGGCCACGGGCGAGGCGAGCGCTGGGGTGGGAGCGGGACAGGGCCGCAGGAGAGCCTATGTGAAGGTAGGCGCCGGAGGAGGAGCGGGGAAGCCGTAAAGCTTTTGCAAGGATAATGCTATTTCTGCGCGTGATTTTAACGACACGGGGAACGTTGGGAGTCGCTAATACGCTAGATTTCTTAGCGCTTCTTATCCTGCTGTGCTTTTAATTTGTCGCAGTTATACGCCGCCTTTTGTTCCAAGGAGCTCAAGGCGGTGCACATGGTTCTCCTCCCCCATTTCATCCCCGCAACAACCCCGCGAGGTAGGTCACCCACTGAGCTGCACGGCTGAGCGGGGACTCGAACTCAGGCCTCCCCCCCAAGTCATAGACCTGCGCTGTAACCATTGCGCCACACGGGATCTCGAACGGCTTTGAGTTTCTCCCCGCCCCTATTTATTGTTGCCCTCGCAACAATCTTGTGAGGTAGGTTAGGCAGTGAAATGTTACCAGGAATACACAACTAACGCAGAGAAAGATGCATAGACAGTAAATATATAAAGATGCATCTACAGTGTGTGTGTATATATATAAATGCACGCGTGCGCTTTGAAATAAAAAAAAGTTAAATGCTCTACTGGTTCTTTTTCACACAGAATGTTCCCTGGAACATAACTTTCTCCCCTGTTAATTCATAACTTGGAAAATAGCCTTGATTGGGTTCTGTGGTAAATTGGGAAAAGTTAACCAAAGGTAGAGACTGAGGTTATGTAGATGGAACTTGACTGTTTTGACATATCCTCAGTCAGTAAGTTTTCAGACTTGAAGGTAGGCTTGCCACTGTCACATTCAGTTGTTTTTGTGCATTTTCCGCTAGTTTCTCATGTTTCGCAAAACAGACTCTAGCAATATATACATGTGTGATATTTTGAGTGTGAAAATCACAGGCCCTTTAAATATATGAAGGAAATACTGTATTGGCCCAAATATAAGCCGCACCTTTAAAATTGGAGTGGGGGGGGGAGAATACCCAAATATAAGCCAGTATGTTCCTGACTGGGGGGGGGGGGTTGCGTCTGGCTGCCTTTCCCCTTCCTCACTCTCTCCCTTCCCGGCCTTCGGGGAGAGGATGGGGGACTATGTACAGGCACTGTTTTACCCGCGTTCCTGGCTGCATACCATAAGATTTTGAATATAAGCTGCACTTTAACTTTTCAGGGTCGGAATTTGGGGAAAAGGTGAGGCTTATATTCAGGCTGATACAGTGTATAGTTGTCTAAATCTCTTAGAAAGAGACTGGGCCTTCATTTGAGTAGACAAATGCTTCAAGCTGTTTTAGTCAATTTAGCCACTTCACTTTTGTGGGACTAATATGAGAGCCAGTCTGCATTTGTAGTTCTACTAAATACCACATTTATACATTAGAGATGTGCTAACTATAAATGTGAAAAACTCAGAAAACATTGATACTTCTAAACTGCTTAAAAGCCACCTTGGCAATTAAGCAGTTTATAAATTAAATAGTAAATTACAGCTCTTTGAGTGTACATTTGGTCGCAAACCCAGTTTTGTGCCATGCAGCCTGTAGCTTTGCAGAGATGATAGGAAAATCATCCAAACAGGCCTGTCCCTTGTGTTGAGGAGCCTATTTTTCTTCCTCACCTACACCATTACATTTTCATAGCAATTGAACTACTGATACCAGATCAGGACTAGTGCCACAGTAATTTAAAGCACTCCGGCTGCAGTACAAAAAGCAAAAATCTGTATGCAGCTATATGTTCTATTAGGATTGCCTCTTTGTGTTATAAATTCATGTGCTTTATATGCTTTCTGTATTTTGTAAAACTTTTTGTATATGTAATATCTGCTTTGCTTTAATATGTGTTGTAGCACATTTGCCATAATTGCTGGCTTCTAGGTTACCTTTAGGCATATGACCAGAGGTACAATCAGTAATCAGTGGAGAGCTTCTCCCTTTTTCCCCCTTTTCTTGGTGTCTTATGATCGCCTGGTTCAGAGCTGTTTGCAGGAGTTTTCCTTTCTTCTTCTGAGCATTCTCTCAATTCTACTGCATTCTCTAAATGTGACCTTGGTAGGGTCCAGGTGATGGGTTTATACATATTTGAACAGTGCTTTGTTACTGCTGATTATTGTACCAGCCAGTAGCAGTATGTTAAAAGTACCTCTGAGCACATTCAGAGTCTGTTTCTCTTTCTGCTGAACAAGTGCAGTTTGCCTCAAGAATGAAAGAAAAGCTTATAGGGCAGGTGACATAAACTGTTTGGGCCCTGCGCTTCTTTCTTATAAGAAACTGAATGCTGCTGCTACCTCCATTACAAGTATACAGTGCAGAACTAAATAACGTAACCTCCCTCACACAAAAATTCCACTCTCGAAACATGGTGCCAGCTAGTCAGCAATGCTGTCTTCCAAGATAATATCCCCAGTAGAGCAGGTGGGAAACCTGTGACCCCTCCAAGTCTTGTTGAACTGTAACTTCCATCTTCTGTAACAACTACTACTACTACTACTACTACTACTACTATTATTATATTTGTTTATACTCCGCCTTTTTCCCCTGACAGGGGCTCACAGATAAAATGAGAACAACTAAAAATGGGGGGTGGGGTCATTAAAAAATTAAACATTAATAGAACTAAAACTATGGATGGGCAATCACAGACAATCACAACAAAAACAGTGTGGTACCCATCTCCTCCATCTCCTCATTACAAACTGTCAGTTTTCAAAAGCATGCTGAAACAAGAAGGTGTCTGGCAGGAGGACTCCTAAGAGGGAGCCAGTCTAACTTCTCTTGGGAGGGAGTTCAGACTCTGAGAACAGCCACCGAAAAGGCCCTGGCTAGGGCTGATAGGTATTGTAGTCCAACAACATACTGAAGGCCACAGGTTCTCCATGCCCTGCTGTGTAGGGATTAAGCAGACCAATTCACTCTCATCCTCTATCCCCACCCCTTTTCCATATTTTATTTTGCAACTTGTATTCAATGTTCCATGGCTCTTAAGTCCTCATTAGGCTGAGTGGGTTGGAATTGTTCCCTTTGGGTTTTTTTGTTTTGTTTTTTAATGTTTTGCTTGACTCCTTTGCTGTTGGCCTTTTCACTTCTCTGACACTCCCATGTGCGGAATTTCTGAAGTGGAGAGCCTTTTCTACTTATGTAGGCTCCTCATGTAATATAGAACTCTAATCTCCCATGGTTGATAAATGTGCAGAGGGAAAAAACTCCTGAGTAGTTACTATATGTCTGATTCCTGGTTCATTAAACTCCCTCCCCCTTCTCAGTCTGCTATCAACAGTCTGTAATTCTAGGAATTGTCAGCCATTTTGCAGTTTAAAAATATTTTTCTTAGTGTTGAAATGTATATACTTGCTTGGGGAGATTCCCTTGAGTATGTAGAAACAACTGATTTTTATTTATTTATTTTATTTATTTATTTTGAGGGCCCAGTTGTGCTCCCAAACACATAGGTATTTGATCACTTGTGCTCACTATTGGAACAAGTGGGAGCTGCAACAAAAGGTTGCAGTGTAAAGCTAGCCAGTCATGTCCTGTTCCAAGATGCTCATGTGAAAGCTCAAATATAATGCAAAATAACACAGAACTTAAAGCAGTTGCGGAAAAGGAGTAAAAACTGGATCAACTGCCATGTGAATGTGATATTTCTCCTCCTACTCTTTCATCTTGTTACCCTGTCCTGCTGCTGATGGTGTAGTGCCTTCTCCCTTTTAAAAAATTCTTTCTGTAAACACCAGCAGTTGTTGTTTGCTTGCTTTCTAGCACCACCTGCCATGGCTTTAATGAGCATTTCATAGGGCATCAGCAGTTTAGCTTAGTTCCACGCCAACAGCAAATTAATGTAATATTCTTGCCATCTTCTGTTCTTACTAAAATTTGCTGCTATCCTACCTTTCTTTAAATGTGAGCAAAACTGAAGCACCAGATGTTGCAGCATTCATCATGGTAAAATATTGCCAGTAACAACATTACTCAAATCTTGATCCTGTCATTTTAAGCAGGGTCTGACAGCAGAAAACAGTTTTGTACATCTGTTTCTCTATCCCAAATGGGACAAGGTCTTCAAACTAGGAAGATAATTTTTTAAAAACATGCAGCGTTCTGTTGGAATTTGTGGTGAATTTGTGGGAACTTAAACAAACCATTAAAAGCCTAAGTTCAGTGTTTAGCTGCAGAAGTGAAACGCTTGCACACCCATAATGCAAATGCTTGCAGAAGTGGGAACATGTTGCTCCATGTGACATGTTGCTGCGAAGGCTTGAGCCTGAAAAGAGAATGCAATATGCAATATTTCTTAAGAAGTAAGACAAGAAAAATGATAGTGTCTCCAGCTGAAGCATCCTCATATGATTTCAGTTTAGATATCAAAATAAATTCAAGAAGACAATTGAAGGAATATACCGGGACTTTTGAGAGCAATTCCATCATGCCCTCTTGAAAAATCTGCTCTGGAAGATCAGGAGGCGTTCAGTGCAGTGTGAGAGGCTGCAGCCTGAAGAGAAATTTGGTACAGACCATGTGCATAATAAGCACAGTGTTCTTTGAATTTTGGCCTCTGAAATTAGTTGAAACAAATGCCATAGCTGTGCCAATACTAGAAGATGTCTTAAAAATGATCCTAGTTATGAGTAAAATCTCAGTTTGGCCTTTTGAAAAACTAGTTCGGACCATGGATGGACACATGCACATGTATGACTCATGGAGATGGAAAACAGCAGGGGATTTTAATTTTTTTTGCTGCTCTGATTTGGAGCTTGTCTGCAAAATTTAGATATCTGCAATGTTTCTTCTTGCTTAATAGCTTCTGCATATATGCTTTGCTTCCGTCATTCTCCTTGCAAATTACTGGCTTTTCCTTCCGCTTGAATATGAACTGCATTAGAAAATCTTCATAAAAACTTTCTTTAGGATGCTTCCCTCCTTCTCCTCAATTAAAATAGATAATGGATGTGGTCTGAAGGTGCATCTCTAATGTGGGAATACTCCTGTGTGTATCCTAGTATAGTCAGAATAGCATGTATGCGATGCCTCGTACAAAGACACATGTTCCAACTTCTTCTATCTACAAATCTTAAATTTTACACAGGAAGATTTCAAGAGATGGGCTTGAGAATACTTTCCCAAGGACATCTACTAGACTACTACTATCAGTATAATTTTTATGTTTAAATCATGCCCTGAGGTTTTGAAAACATTAAGATTGTTGCATCAGATCTGTTAGTAGACCCTAGGTAGAACCTTGATTTTTGAATTTTTAAACAACTTGACATTTTTTGGTTTTGGACAAACGAAGTTGAACTTATTTTCTGGAAAGCTCTGGATTCATAATGCCAACAGTCACACTAATACAGATAACTGTTATTGGTTTGGCAGTCTTACCAGTGAGCAGCCTTTGAGGAAGTCAGTGCCACTGTAGCTCTTAAAGTACCCTTTCATTGGCAAGGGACGCCAGTCCATCTGGCTTAACTCTCAACTAGGCTAAGCTTCCTTTCGTATCCACTTATTGAGGCTAGTACAGACTTGTCCTAGCCACTTGCATTCCTTTGGTCTCCATATCAAATACTTCTTAAATGGTATGACAGTTGCATTGACATGCCTACGCCTATCATGGAAGCTGCTGTACTCTGGATGCCAGTTTTCACCCATATTAATGCATTCTGGTAGCAGAGCTTTTCTACAAAATCTTATGGCTGCCTACAGATCATAAGACAAAGGCAAAAGTTGCCTGCACAATCAGCTGCATTGTATAGTTCAGCTGAATCCTTGAACATCCATATTAGGTTTGCTTTTATTTTGGGTCTAGTTGAAAGTAAAGGTATGCAGCATGAATCTCATTTCCTTCACTGCTTTCTCCAGGCTAATCGTAACAGCTGCTAAGGACGACAAAGACAAACTGTAGACAATCAAATATATTGTACTGGTCAAGTAAAATGGATCCATGTTCAGTAGGAAATCAGCTGCAAGCTAGCAGCAATTGCCATAAAACATACTTTACCTGTCACACTGGATTCAAGACTAAGCAAGAACTATCATCAACTGATCTGTTACTCCTTCAGCTTAGGACTGGGATAACACTTTCAGAGAACGATACAATCTGCTTCCATCATGCTAAAGTTTACCTTGATAGGTATGAAGACTTGCAAAAGTCATGCTGTGATCCTTTTAATATGCACAAAAAGCTTTCAAGGAAAAACTTGCATGCAATTGACATAGACGATGCAACTGTTCTAAGTGCCAAGTTTGGACGGCAGTTTATACCTGGCTGGAAACTTTGTCAAAAATGTACACAGATAATAAATGGAAGTGCAGAGGTTGATTCTGAAGACCGTCAACGAAGGAGACTTGATTCAGACGTATGTATATGGGATAATTTTTTTCATCTGTTGGACTTAGGCTTCAATCTTATGCACACTTACCTGAGAGCAAGCCCCAGTGAAAATGCTGTTCCTTAATTCTAAGTAATTGTGCCTGTGGGTTAGGCTGTACTTAACATAGAGCATCACTAAGATAAGTAAAGGTAAAGGGACCCCTGACCATTAGGTCCAGTCGTGGCCGACTCTGGGGTTGCGGTGCTCATCTCGCTTTATTGGCCGAGGGAGTCGGCGTACAGCTTCCGGGTCATGTCGCCAGCATGACTAAGCTGCTTCTGGCGAACCAGAGCAGCGCACGGAAACACCGTTTACCTTCCTGCTGGAGCAGTACCTATTTATTTACTTGCACTTTGATGTGCTTTTGAACTGCTAGGTTGGCAGGAGCAGGGACCGAGCAACAGGAGCTCACCCTGTCACGGAGATTCGAACTGCCGACCTTCTGATCGGCAAGTCCTAGGCTCAGTGGTTTAACCCACAGCGCCACCCGCGTCCCTCCATCACTAAGATAGCTATTATTAATTAATTAATCAATTAATTAATTAACCCTCAGGTACTAATGGTATGCTAAATACTGTGCAATTTCCACATGTGTGGTCATCACTTGATAAGTGCAACATGAAGAATTATGTAAAACAGCCATCGTTAATCAAAACTTAACAAAAGGCACTCTGATATAACCTCACGTAATCTCAAATGTAGTAACTGGCAATAGAGCATTAATACATCTAGCTGCAGTTCCTCACATATTATATTATGCATATATGTATGAATGTGCCCTAAGCAAGTCTAACGTGATTAATGTGGAAGAGAGCAGGGCTTGATACTAGAATGGTGAAACTGAGTAGAAGTGGATTAATTCATAAAGGTAAAGGTACCCCTGCCCGTACGGGCCAGTCTTGACAGACTCTGGGGTTGTGCGCCCATCTCACTTAAGAGGCCAGGGGCCAGCGCTGTCCGGAGACACTTCTGGGTCACGTGGCCAGCGTGACAAAGCTGCATCTGGCGAGCCAGCGCAGCACACGGAAACGCCGTTTACCTTCCCGCCAGTAAGCAGTCCCTATTTATCTACTTGCACCTGGGGGTGCTTTCAAACTGCTAGGTTGGCAGGCGCTGGGACCAAGCAACGGGAGCGCACCCCGCTGCGGGGATTCGAACCGCCGACCTTTCGATCGGCAAGCCCTAGGCGCTGAGGCTTTTACCCACAGCGCGCCACCCGCGTCCCTGGATTAATTCATAGACATGTATAAAAGTTGGAACCACAGCAGTCTTTGGGGAACAATGAGGTCTAGTCTACACATACAACAGCAAAGTATAGGAGTTCTGATGGGATTGAATCGATATCATTCTCCCCCCCTTAGAACTTATTTCATCACTTGATGGGGGGGTATCTATTCCTAGCAATAAAAAGCAGCATGATGGAAGATGTACTTTGAAATGGAAGTTATTCTCCAGTCTTCGTCTAATGAAAACATATAGCAGTTAATTTTTTAAAAGGTGAGGTCAAGAGTGAACTGAAAATATGTCCTGTTTACTTATTAAAGTAGGCTTTCGCTATTTCTGTTTCCATTAATTTGCACCATTAGATATATACTCATATCCCGCTTACCTGCTCCACAAGAAATTGCCATTGCTTTTTTACTTTACTTCCTAGTGTTACTGCCCGTTCAGAGAAACCTTACGAGTGTCAGGTGGCTAAGATGTCATAAAATTTAAATACGTGTGTTGGGGGAGAGGGATGCTTTGTGCCACAGCATACAGCAACCACTTGTTCACATTTTTTGTATTAACCTGTAACAATCTTCCTTGACCAAGAACAATTGCTGGTGGATACCCTGTTCATGTAGACAGGGATTGAGGGCATCTCAACCTTATCCCCCTTCATATTCATGAACTGAGCATTTGAATGACACTCAATGGAAAGGTTTTTTTTACATTTGGCCCCAGCTTTGAGCCTCTAAGAAGTGACAGCATTCTAATTGATTAGCAAGCCTCTGGTAATGTATGCATTAAGCTTTGCATTAATAGTTCCAATGAATTGTCTGTATCTGTTCAGGGACGTACAGCTAAGACCTTGAAGTCCTTACAGTTTGCTAATCCAGGACGACATTCTGAATTTGCTCCAGAAGCAAACAAAAGGGAAAAAAGAAGGCTGCAGACAAAAAGCACATCCAACAATTCAGACAGGTGAGCTCTTTTCCTCCGATGATTACACTTATCCTTGCTTTCACGCCCTTGGGGGAAAGTCTTTATTTGCATCTGGACCATGCTTCAAGTCTGCTTAAGTAGATAGAATCTCTTTTCATTCAAGCGCATAGAAATGGTGTGATAAAAATCCATTGTAAGGCATGGAAAAAACCTTGAAGAGTAAAGAATTGCCACACAATAATGCTGTTGGAGCATCTGAATTAATCCACAGAATAGCTAAAAGGTGACTGATCCTGCCTTTTCTGTTCCAAAGTGGTTCTGAACAAATCAATTCTGTACTGAAGCAGGAAGGTGAATGTTGATTAGAGTTGTCCACAGCGTCAGTAGACTCCTTTCAGATATAACGTGATCACACCTTAGATAGTAATGGTGCCCTTCCCCAAAATTAATGAACCCTAAAACATTCTGCCCACTGTTGCAAAGGGAAAGAGAAGGGAAACAAAATTGCATAGCCTATGGACAGACATGACAACCTGTTGCATGGACAGACTCTGTCAACATGTTTCTATATGTAATGGTGTCTCCCTAGAACCTAAACTTGCCCGAAATTTATTGGCAGTCTCTGTGACTAATGTAATGTATGGCTTTTGGCATAAGATTAGCCAGAGCAAATTCACCTAAAAGTAGATTTTAACTGAATTGCCAGTGACTTAAAATGGAGTCCAGTGTTACAGACTGCTGTTAATTCTGCTTTCTTTCTCCTCCAGGCAACTCATACCAGCAAAGAGCAAAGTGTATGATAGCCAAGGACTTCTGCTTTATAGTGGGATAGACCTCTGTGACTGTCTTGATGAAGATTGCCTAGGGTGTTTCTATGCTTGTCCCAAGTGTGACTCCAGCAAGTGTGGACCTGAATGCCGCTGTGATCGCAAGTGGCTATATGAGCAAATTGAGATAGAAGGAGGAGAAATTATAAGGAATAAGCAAGCGGTATAGCTTGCATGTTGAATTCAAGTAATGAGCGTACATGCCAAAGGTTTTCACTTACAAAAATGCATAAACTTTGTTCAGATTTCCAGTTAGCGTTTGAAGTGGTATATGAAAGTTGTGGCTCAGAGTTAATTTCCCCTTTTTGGCACCCTTACAAAAAAGAAAATCTAGAATCTTATTAATGGGCAAGTGGATTAATCGGAACAGTATTATGCATTTTGCACCATGTACTCTGTGGAAAAGATGCATTTCCCAAACGTCCTCCCTCTTTTCACCTGGTAGTGTTGCCCATTTCAGAAATGTGACCACTGATTTCATCACTTTAATCGCTCGAAACCATGAGCAGTATTAGCACATAGTAAACTTGTGATTTGATAATGATGTTGCATGGTGGGTAGAAGATATTAACAACAGATTAAAGGCTTTTTGAGAAGATGGTACCACTTCAAAGAAAAGTATTGGACCGCTTTGAAATATTTCTGTGTTTTTGTTTTTAATCTGAATACAAATCTATCTTGTGTTTTCAACAGTATTTCACTGATGAGGAGAAAGTAATAAACCAAAGATGTAATCTCAGGTAGCATTTCCATTATGGGTTTGTTATTTGAGAACTATATATTTGAGTCTCTAGGCAGTCGGACAGAGAATTTCTAGGATGAATGACAACACAGTCCCATTTAGCCTTTAAGAATATGTGAAGGTTAATTATTTGAATTTGGACATTAGGAGCACAAATGGGGAACCAGGAGTAATGTGTTTTATATTGCAATCACCGATGCTCTGCATAAGGATATGTACAGAATTTATTTTCAGTAGCAATTAAAAGGCTGCATTTTCTTGCAGGGCCATTTTCATAGTTTTGACCCCATATGCAATAAGGAATTGTATTTGTGTAAATTAAACTTGCCCTTGAGGATAGATGACTTTCCATTTGAAATGATGGTTAGGTGGTAAAATATGTAAGACTTAAAAAGTTCTTGTTAAGTATTATCCTAGGAGTTTTGTTTGACTCCGCCTATGTTCAGGAATTTATTCTGTTACCTGTAGTGTCCTAGGAAGGCAAATAGTGTCATGCAAAGCAAGAAAGCTGCATAGGAGCTGGTGGATGTTTGTCCCTAAATTCAGGAGGAGATGGAATTGAATCCATAGCCCTGAACCTGGAGTTCCATGACTGCTCCGATGGGCCCATGTGGAGCTACTCCCTTATTTGACGTAAAAATGTTTATTGAGGGGCCATGAGGTCTGAAAACATTGGAGTGTATCCAAGGAGCCTCTGGATTAAGTCAATTGTGTCTTTACAGTATTTGTATGCGTGCATTTATTTATATATGTATAGAAACCATTTCATTATCAATTATGATTGCATTTTTTTACAATTTGCAAATGTCTGTACTTTAAAAGACTTAAGATTACACCTTTGCTGGGGCTGCATTATATCTGACTAAATTGGCCATTAGCAAATCATCTTGTAAAGAGAAATCCGCAGTAGGAATGGTTATTAAATTTAAAATTGCTTCACTTGGTATCTTTTTTTTTAAAAAAGCATTTTTCTATCTAAAGCCTCAGTATGCAAATAGATTTATTGGGACCATCCAAAATGCCACACAGTCGTTTTCATAGGTCTTAAAAAAGGTATTACCATACTGTGGCTTTGGGCTTTTTCCCCCTATTGTATGAATCAATACAGACTTAATATTTTTTTAAAATCCCGTAAAATAACTTTAGAATACTATGTGCAACTTTGCTTGACTTGATTGATTTCATATGTTATGTAGTAAAGTTCTTACAGCTATGTACAGAAAACTAGCCATCACCTAAAACTGTTTTTAGAGCCTGCCTAACTGCTGGCAAGTTATTTGAACAGATGGATTTTTTTACTCTCCCTGCAAAGTGGCATTCTGCAAAGCTTACAATAAAATAAAAGTACTTAAAGGGGAAAGTTTGGCACCTGAACAATGAGATACATATATATGGTTTTATCCAAAGCTGTCCAGGTGCGAGCAGAACAGACTTCTAATCATGCAATCAGAACTTCGCTCCTGCAGCCTCTTGCAGGCTCTCAAAATCTGCTCTGTGGGGTTGAGTAACCCCTGAGCAAATTTGTGGAATTGTAGAAAGGCATAGCAGAAGAATATATTATGCTGCATGAGCTCACTATCAGTTTAAAAATTTGGATACTGGCAGATAAATAGCTGCAAGTCACATTGCAGCATGCTGGAATATGAAATCCTCTTGAACTTAAATTTCTTAGTGTTGACATCTACTAGCACTAACAAAATGTAAAGCAGCAATGCAAATATTGTGTTTGTCTAATTTCTTCAACAAAAAATTGATCAAATTTACCCTCAAATGTTTAGACGTGTGTCTCAGTGACTAATCTATTATAAAATGTTATACAGTGTAATGGCTAGTATGTATTTGATACAGGTATGTATTGGTAATCTGCTCCAGATATTAACATTAATTAAACAGAGGTTGCAGTTCTGTGCACAGATACTTTGGTCAATTCCATGAATACTAACAGATAGTATGTACTGCATGCTGAAGTGATTAGTTATGCAGAAAAACTTACTCCACTTACACTGAAACATTACTGCTAGTACTAGACAGCGACAGCTGCAAACGAAGATACACTATTGAGTAAATATCAGGTATTTTCTTTGTCAACTCACGTCTGAAGATTCCTGTATTTCTTATCATTTATCAAATCCTGTTAATAAATACATTTATTTGAGCCACATATTTAGTTCTATTATTCTTCTTTTTAAAGTTCATCCAGATAATGAAGAGTAAATATCTGAATACCTCTACTTTCTATTAATTTACTTAGCCCAAACTTATTACACAACAAAGGACTACTACTCATTCATTTTGTTTGTATGCCGCTTTTCCACCAAAAAAAAAAAAAATGCTCAAAGTGGCTCACAAAAAAGGAATGCATTTCAAACAGACACTACAAAAACCATTTAATAACAGCATAGCAAAATAACATAGTAACAGTTGCATAATAACAGCAAAATAATAACATGAAGAAACCACATTTCAGTACTATAAATATAACAAGATGACTTAAGCAACACAGCATCCAATAGCAAAATTAACAAGGGGGCTTCACAGTTTTCCCTTAACTCTAGAAACACTCCTCCCATGATATTACTCATCACCTTATTCTCTTGAACTTTGCGCCACCTGTACAGTTAAAGAGACATGTAGCTGCCTTATTATCTCTTGAATCTGAATCAGAAAGTCTGAGGTTAATAATAATAATAATTTATTATTTATACCCTGCCCATCTGGCTGAGCTTCCCCAGCCACTCTGGGCGGCTCCCAATCAGTGTTAAAAACAGTACAGTGTTGCATATTAAAAACTTCCCTGAACAGGGCTGCCTTAAGATGTCTTCTGAATGTCAGGTAATTATTTATCTCTTTGACATCTGATGGGAGGGCGTTCCACAGGGCGGGCGCCACTACCGAGAAGGCCCTCTGCCTGGTTCCCTGTAGCCTCACTTCTCACAATGAGGGAACCGCCAGAAGGCCCTCGGCGCTGGATCTCAGTGTCCGGGCTTAACGATGGGGGTGGAGACGCTCCTTCGGGTATACAGGACCAAGGCCGTTTAGGGCTTTAAAGGTCAGCACCAACACTTTGAATCGTGCTCGGAAACGTACTGGGAGCCAATGCAGATCTCTCAGAACCGGTGTTATGTGGTCCCGGCGGCCACTCCCAGTCACCAGTCTTGCTGCCGCATTCTGGATTAATTGCAGTTTCCAGGTCACCTTCAAAGGTAGCACCACGTAGAGCGTGTTGCAGTAGTCCAAGTGTGAGATAACTAGAGCATGCACCACTCTGGCGAGACAGTTCGCGGGCAGGTAGGGTCTTAGCCTGCGTACCAGGTGGAGCTGGTAGACAGCTGCCCTGGACACAGAGTTAACCTGCGCCTCCATGGACAGCTGTGAGTCCAAAATGACTCCCAGGCTGCGCACCTGGTCCTTCAGGGGCACAGTTACCCCATTCAAGACCAGGGAATCCCCCCCACCAACCCGCTCCCTGTCCCCCAAAAACAGTACTTCTGTCTTGTCAGGATTCAACCTCAATCTGTTAGCCGCCATCCATCCTCCAACCGCCTCCAGGCACTCACACAGGACCTTCACCGCCTTCACTGGTTCTGATTTAAAGGAGAGGTAGAGCTGGGTGTCATCTGCATACTGATGAACACCCAGTCCAAACCCCCTGATGATCTCTCCCAGTGGCTTCATATAGATATTAAAAGCAGGGGGGAGAGGACAGAACCCTGAGGCACCCCACAAGTGAGAGCCCAGGGGTCTGAACACCCCTTAAAATAGATTTAAGTGCCCTCATAGTGCTAGAGTAAATGTTCTTCCCCATGTAGAAGGGTGACTTGCACCAGGGAGCGTGGACAGTCCGTCATTAGATGGTGTCAGATTCCTATAATACAAAATTTTGTGGGATTATGGCTGGGCTGATATTTTCCTAGGCAATGACATGCAAAACAATAATAACAACACACGTTTACTACCCTTTTACAAACCTGAGGCATGAAGCAAATTGTACATACGGTGGAAAAGTTTATACAGATACCGGTGTGTATGAGAGGAGGGTACACTTGGGAGAGAAGAAAAATGTATGTGTCTGGGATTTGGGAGTGTGTGTATGTGTATGTGTTGTCTCTGAGCAGTAAGAGGAGGGGCTATCAATGTGTGGCTTCTGTGTATGTGTCATCTATGAAGGAAGGGGAAATGTATATGTGATGGGGGTGAGATATGCATATGTGCCTGTAGTTTGTGTGCAGGGAGAGAGTGCATGTGTGCAAGGGGGTGGTGGGCCACCTGGTATATTTTTCCTGTTACTGGGGAATGTGCCTTGTTATTAGATAGCAACAGCATCACTGATGGGAGGGAGTCTATATTGTGTGATCTCCACTGTTAGGACCAGTAGGACATCCTTTGGGAAGCCTGAGATTTTCCAGGGGAGAAGAAGCAATTACTGGACTGTCTTAAAATTTGTAATGTGCCCGCTAGTCCAGAAAAGGCTAATAACCACTGGTTTACAGAAACAACTCATTTTCAAACCATAGCTTATGAAGCGGCTTCTTTCTATAAACCACAGTGAAGATTAGCCGCAGTATAGGATTCTTAATTTTGAAACGAAAGCTTCGGAACTCTTCACCCTGACAGTGGGAGAGAGCAGTGAGATCAAGGCTTGTCTATGTAGCAAATCAAACATTGCCAATGTTTATGTCTGACCATTTGAGCCATATTAGGCTCTATACCGGGACGCGGGTGGCGCTGTGGGTAAAAGCCTCAGCGCCTAGGGCTTGCCGATCGAAAGGTCGGCGGTTCGAATCCCCGCGGCGGGGTGCGCTCCCGTTGATCGGGCACAGCGCCTGCCAACCTAGCAGTTTGAAAGCACCCCCGGGTGCAAGTAGATAAATAGGGACCGCTTACTGGCGGGAAGGTAAACGGCGTTTCCGTGTGCTGCGCTGGCTCGCCAGATGCAGCTTTGTCACGCTGGCCACGTGACCCGGAAGTGTCTGCGGACAGCGCTGGCCCCCGGCCTCTTGAGTGAGATGGGCGCACAACCCCAGAGTCTGTCAAGACTGGCCCGTACAGGCAGGGGTACCTTTACCTTTACCTTAGGCACTATACCATTGCCCTGAATAGAGCTGTGAACAATATTAGGCTGTATCTTCACAAAATTGTCCTAAACATCTGAGATGATGTCCTCGAAAGGTGAGTTTAATATGAATGGGCATTATAATTTTACAGGTGTTGATTTTGTTCTGTTTTATGGTGAACTTTGCTAGAGATTTATTGCCATCTTGGGCCTCGGGAGGAAGAAAGGAGGCATGGTTACCTATAACCCCTAAACACAGTTGGATTTACTTCTGAGTAAGCATGTAAGTGCACCATAAGGCACTTTCTGTTGGATCAATTTAAGAGTAGACAGAAAAGATACAAAAGGTGTAGCTAATTAGAGTTGCTGAAATTTGAACCTAGGCACTAAGTTTATTAACTGCAAATATTTCACTTAATGGACTGAAAACTGACAAAACAGTTTCTAGGATGCTAATTGACTAAGGAGCTGTTTTTCCCACCATATTCTTACAGTTTTTAGGTAATTGCCAAGGGGGGGAATCTATTTACACATGAATGTGGGAACCAAATGAGTTGTGTATTGTACAGTCCCTCGGCTATTGGCTTGTGTAATTAATAATAATTGTAAAGAACAATATTCTTCCCTTCGACATAAATGCGAACCACTGCCTATCTTTTTGGTGTGGGTTTTTTTTTTCCCCCTTTCCCAATCAAATTCTCAAGTCCTGTGGTTGGTCTTTTCAGTCTGTTGGCCTTTCAGACTCATGAAATGTAATTACTGTTAACGCCACGAAAAGCTAGGCCTGCCGATTGAGTCAGCTTTTATCTCTGCATTTCAAATGTATCCCAAGACTGACCTTCAACCTCTCTCACCACAGAAACCTGGAACTGGGAGAACAAAGGCTCCCTGTTTTAGTGAAGTTCATGCCATTTTATCATGTGGATATATTTTTACACAGGAGCAGGCTGGAGGTCGTCAGTCTCATTTTTACTTATGCCCTTAGCACAATTTGAATCCAGTTTCCTGAGGTGAAGGTTAAGCAGCATGTACACAAAGCTTTGGGGAATGGTAAACCTCAAAAGATGCGGCCCCCTAATGGTGGAGAGCACTCCGGCAGTTGGGAGCACTGAGCAGTCGAGGTTCCAGATCACATAGAAACCAGGGCCACATCCGCACCAGATATTTAAACCACTATTACACCACTTTGACATTCATGGACCTTCTGCAAAGGATCCTGGGAACTGTGGTTCATTAAGGATGCCAAGAGTTGTTAGGAGACCCCTGTTCCACTCAAAGAGCTACAATTCCCAGGGGAGTTGCCCAGGTAGAGGGCTTGATTGTTAAACCACTCTGGAAACCGCAACTGATGCATTCCCAGCAAAAACACAATTATGTGGTCTCCCAGAGAAGAGATCGCAGGCGCTTTACTACTACAGTGGACCCCCTAATTACGTACCGCTCTGGGTACGTAACTTTGGGGTTACCAACGCAGCAAAGCCGCATGCACAGAAGTGCACCACATGCGTGCACAGAAGTGCTCCATCACGCCGTGCGCAGAAGCGGTGCCTCTGCCTACGGACTTTTCGGGTTGCAGATGGGCCCCTGGAACGAATGTAATTCATATCCAGAGGGTCCACTGTACTCTGATCCTCCTGCAGCTGTGACATAAGGGAGCTAAGCCATGGTTTAGTTTAGCATGTTCTCTGAATCTGGGCTTGTCGTCAGTCTCCTCTGAAAAAAACTACAAACAATAAGCCGTAGAACAATTCCTGGCTACAGCTCATGAGAGATCTGAAGCAAATGAAACAAGCCTGGGTTCAGACAATATGCTAAGCCAAACCATGGCTTGCCTCACAACAGCAGCATTGGAGAAGAAGCAAAACGGCCCCTATCCCTCCAGGAACATGCATGCTCTTAGGTTTCTGCTAAGTCATGGTTTGGTTTAGCAGCATGTGCAAAACTGGGTCAGTTGTATCTGGCAGTCCCATTCCTATAATCCATCTGTTGTGGAGCCAGTAAATTACTGCTGCCCCTTTTCCTATTTGAAATGAGCTTTAATGACTTTTGTAGAGTTTCTTGTTTTTACAACTTCTTTATTACAAAGCCCACAGTTCTGCTGTATATGC